GACGAATTGTATTTAGATTCCAGGTAAAAAGTATTTAAATTTCAGATTATTGGAGTGGAATGACAAAGAAGTACCCTCCAGAATGTTGGTCCATTTTTCCGTTTATCGAACTATAAATAMGAAATTTAAACTGTTATTATTATTTATTTACCACTAAGTTAAACCACTTGTCCGAAATTGGATTTTTATGGATTAAACAATAAAACATCAAATTACATTCAGAGTACTATCTGCATCGGATTATGCTATGAAAAATGTATGTTTTCATTCTAAAGCGTAAAAAATTTAAAAAAATTTAGAGATACAAAACAGACATTTTTTCGAAAACATTTGTTTTGTAACGACAAAATGAGGTTAGGTGTATTTTGAAATATTGGTAATGTGTTATATTAGATGTATCACACATGTTTTACATGTGTAGACCATCGCATATTATAATTGATTTATTAAACCCTTTATTATTCTTACTCGTTATTATTTTTAAATTTTATCAAATTATGACTTATAATAACTATAATATTACCTATAAATTTAACTTGAATACAATTTTAACATTTTTCTTTTCGGCATAGTTTAAAAGATGACTTACCATCTATTACCGATTCTTTATTAAGTTTTGTATGTAGAACTATTATACTTTTACGTTTTACATGGTTAAATATTTAAAATTAATGATGTACATATAAATTACCTATCCTTTTTTTGTACCAACGCATTATTATTCATATTATACATATAAAGATATCGATCGCGAGATGCCAATCTAAAATATTTAGATATTTAATTATATACCAATTTTAACTATTTATACATATTATGTATGCTTATCGTAGGTATCTATAAAAAAAAGTTATGTATTCATAAAACAGTCAATAATTTAAAAAACATTGTAGACCATGAAACTGGCACGGACACTCAAACTATTGAGATTGAGCGCATGTGGACATGTGGTCGATATTAACAAAAAAGTTACCTTTATCTCGACATTCGATTAAAACCGGGTATAAAAAAAAGTTTATACCTAGTGAATAAATAATATTTATTGTAATAKTATAGCTTGTAAATTTATTTTTATTGATTTATATTTTATATATGCAAAATAATACATAAGAAAATACTAAAATGTTTTTAGATATCCAATAAATATATTGGTCAGTACCTAGTCAATATTGTAAATATGTAGGTCCGATTGGYCACTTCCTAAACGAATGTTTATCTCCTTTCATATATAAATATATAATGCACTTAAATATTTACAGTAATATGTACTATATATAAATAATAGTTACAAAATATAATTCCATAATTGAACTGTACAACTGTGTATTAGTMGCAAATATTTGTATGTGAAATTATTTACAACATAGTTTTTGTTTTAAAATACAAATTATAAACATTCTCTCGTGCTAGTATCATTGTCTTTTATCATAGCATGCGCTATATGTAGATATAAATTTTCAATAATATTAGTGTTTGTAATGTTTTAGGATCTAGAACAATGTATAGCAGACCCAATCAAAATCAAGGCGAAGCGAGACTCGGTAAGTACCTAAATATAAACTTCCACCATGAATTAGATTAATCACGAATTTATCTGTTCCTACATGGAATATAGATAATTTATCTAATATTGTAGTATTAGTCACCTGCAAAGTAGGTAATACTAATTCCATAAATGWACACTATTGAGTCTAAAACACATTCGGAAGAAACCAGTTGTGTATGTTTGATGTATTCATGCATCATGCGGATATTAAATCGAGTTTTATGAAATAAATATAATATAAATAACTGAATACATTATTCGATAAGTCCAATTTAAGATTTTTAAAACGAATTTTTTGGTTTTTAAAAAAAATGAGCCTACAATAAAACGGGGAACGTATCAATTCCGCAACCTTACCAATTTTTACTTAGCTGCAGTAAATTTGTTTCCTTCTTAACTTTATTACAAAATATATTTAATTTTGACTTAATTAAAGAACTAAAGTTTTTAGTCGGCTACGTATGCTTAAACATTTAATTAGTAACAAAGTCGTCCCTATTAATATTA